TCCTCCAGCAAGGACGTACCACCTCCAACAGAGCCACACCACTTAATAATGCCATTCCCTTTGAGATCATGGAAGCCAATTAATTACATTCAAACCAACACATACCTGGCTCATTTAATTTTATTCTTTCATTTTTATCAGCATTCCATATTACAAGCTATATTTTCACTTACTGCTTTAGTTATGTGTCATAGATTTCATTGTTAATTACATTTAAGGGGTTACAGATTTTATTTATTTATTTGTAGTGCAGTGCATGTGGAAGCCAGAAGAGGGCATCAGATTCTCTGGAACTGGAGTTACAGATCATTCTTAGCTGTCCTTTGGGTGCTAGGAATCAAGCCTGGGTCCCCTGGAAGAGTAACAAGAGTTCCTAACTACCAAGTTTTCCTGTCATCTTAGCTGCCACACCTGAATCTGCTGATATTTTAACTACCGTCTGCACCCCATGGCCCCCCATTCAGCACCCAGAGGCTCAGACCTCAGCCTGGTGGAATTTCCAATCCTGCCATGGTAGCACTGGCTCAGTCATGGCTACCAAATATAGGTTTTAACTAAGTCTTTATCATCCTATTTACCAATACTTGAGAGTCAGATATTGGGGTGAAAACCTGCTAGACCAGAGACGCCAAGAAGTAGCCAGCCGACCTTCCTTTTTGGCCAGAGACCAAACTAGAGAAGCAGCTCTCCACTTGTCCCCAACCAATAAAGACCAAGAATCTCTAAGTCCCTCTCTACTCCTTCCTGTGTGTCTCTCTATTCTTGTTCCTGGCTCCTCCGCCCCTCTATGGCTAATTTCTGTCAATTAGTCACAGACTCCACCCCCTAATCCAAGGTTAATTTTATTAACAGTCTCAAAGGTTCATACTGAAATTAAATATCCCACAGCCACCAAGCCATCTCTCTAATTCTTAATTTGTTGCTGTTTTGTTTGAGACAGGATCTCGCTATGTAGCCCTGGTTGTCCTGGAACTCACTATGTAAATCAGGCTGGCCTGGAACTCATGGAGATCCACCTGCCTCTGCCTCCTGTGGAAAGTGCTGGGGTTGAAAGCATGTACCACTAGGCCTGGGGCTTGATTTTTTTTAATCTATCTTGTCCTAGGAGTTTAATAAAAATTTATCCAAATTGGACTTTAAAAAAGAAGTTTTGTTCTAGCCAGGTGTGGTGACCATTTCAAGTTTTCTTTATGGTGTAGTAAATAGTGATTTTAATACATTCATTTACCTGTGTCTCTATGTGTGCACACACATGCAATTGTGCACCTGTGAGAATCAGAAGACAACTTTTGGGAGCCAGTTCTCCTTCCATCATGTGGGCTGGGGGTCATGCTCAGACTGCCAGGCTGGGCAGCATGTACCTTTACTGTTCAGCCATCTTGCCTACTCTAAATGGTAAATTTTTATGCGTGAGAACAGACATATTGCTATTTCAATATGGGACATTTGTGCTGGGGATAACTTAGTTGGTAACATGCTTGCCTCACAAGCATCAAAACCTGAGTTTGATTCTCAAGAGTCATATTAAAGCTGTGCGGGGTGACTTGTGCTTGCAATCTGAGTGACAGCGGGAAGGGAGGTGGAGATCAGTGGATCCTTGGAAGCCTAATGGCCGGTTCCTGTCCAAATGGAAAGTAGAAGACATCTGAGAAATGTTATCCCAGCTAGTCCTGACTACCACGTGTGTGCACACAAACGTGTGCACCCATCCATACAAATATACACCCATCTACACACACATGCACCCGTCTACACACACACACACTTCCATACACATATGCACCCATCCACAGACATGCACTCATTGATACACCCCCACTCATACATACATGCACTCATACACACACACACACACACACCCATCTATACACATATACACACATACACACACACATGCACTCATTCACACACATACACAATGCACCCATCAATATACACATACATCCCCTCCACACACACACATGCACCCATCAACACACACACATGCACCCATCAACACACACATCCATACACACATACACCCCTCCCACACACACATGCAAAGTGGAACAGTCAGTACACATTTAGGTCTACTTTGTAGGAACAGCCTCCATATAGTTTTGTCTTCCTTAGCCTCGAATAAGAGAGTAGCGGGTTAAAACTGTTATTTCCAGCTATCTGTTTTCCCTGCTGCTGTTGCACAAATGCCGTGTGCTTTGATAAGGCACAGCTAACAGGAAAGGATGCTAGTGCACAGACGGGACTCTGGCGCAGGCAGAGGATTCCAGAATGTCATTTCAAGCTGACAGTCCAAATAGCTGAGCCTGTAGCATTGGTGATTAGCATATCACTGCTGTGGAGCGTGGTCCTTAGCGCTACGGTGTCCCTCTTTATGCTTCTTCGAGAACCCTGCCATTTGAGATGGGCATTGCCATCTCTGCTTTCTGTAGTTTCTGTGTTTGGACGGTTGCTGTCCACGCCACTCTTCAGTCTTTCAGAACCACTGATTTTATGTGTGTCTCTTCTAAACGTGACAGGAACACACTGGTTTATAAGCTGTTTGGAAATTCTTTTTCTTTTAGTAGGTGGATTAAGGGCTCTCATGTCGACTGACTAGACTCAGGCTAGAGCTTCTGTTGACTGTGTGCACAAAGCTACAATTATCACGTGTCGCATGTTATGTGATCGGGTGCTTTTTCTTTGAACATTGAGGGAGGTTTGCATTTTTATATGTATTCATTCATGCATTGTGTACATATGAGGGTACTCATGTGCTGGGGAACCTGTGGGGGACCAGAGGACAACATGTGGGAGTCAGTTCTCTCTACTATCATATGGGTACCCAGGGATCGAAACCGGTAATAGAACCTGGCAGCAAAGACCTTTGCCCACTGACCCATTTCCCTGATGTCAAGATCTGCATTTTTATTAATTTTAAAAGCTTTTTATTATACTGATTATATAATTTTAATACTAATGCCCTTAATATTACAAAATACTTCTATTGTCAGTTCGCCCTTTTCAATATTTAAGCCTCAAGTATTTGGTTTGTAATTTCTTTTTCTTGGTTTTGTTTTTTTGAGACAGGGTTTCTCTGTGTAGCCTTGGCTGTCCTGGAGCTCGCTCTGTAGGTCAGGCTGTCCTCAAACTCACAGTGATCCACCTGCCTCTGCCTCCCAAGTGCTGGGAGAAAAGGTGCGCACAGCAACACCCAGCTAATTTTAAGTATTTTTGACTCCTCAAAATTGCAAGTGCAACAATGAGTTCTTTATGTTCTTTTCTCCTCTCCTGTCCTGCCTGGTTTCAGCAGTCAATCTGACACAGTCTAGAGTGACCTGAGGGACTCTCGGCTGAAGGACTGCCCGGATCCACTCGACCCATGGTCATCTCTGAGAGAGATTGTTTGATGGTTGACCTGGGAGGCACTGGCCTACTGTGGGTGGCATCATTCCTAGGCCTGTGTGGGCTGAGTGTGAGTCTGTGCTGGAGCCAGACAGCAGTGATACTCCATGGCTTCTGCAACAGTTCCCGCCCCGACTTCCCTCAGGGATCACTGTGACCTGGAACAGTGAGGTGAAACTAACCCCCTCCACTCCACAAAGCCACCTTCGATCATGGTGCTTATCACAGCAAGAGAAAGCAAACGAGGACATCTCTCTTCTTCCTACGCTAGTGGGTAACCTTGTCCAAGCGGTGCCATTTGACACTCTTCCACGCCAACACTCGTGTGTCCCGCTCAGGTTCCCCCACTGTCTCCTGGTTGGGTGACAGCTGTCTTTTAGAAGAACGCTAAGGGTCTGGGAGTCAACCTTAGCTCTGGCAACGACTAAGACACTTGCATATCTTAGTCAGGTACAGACCTGAGCAATCTCTGTTTTCCTTTCTTTACATGGTGTGGGCTGCGGGGAGGCATGCACCTCACCACAGCACACGTGTGGAGGGCAAAGGACAACTTGCTGGAGTTGGTCCTCTTCTTCCACCATGTGGGTTCTGGGGATTGAACTTGGATCATCAGTCTTGGCAGCAAGCCCCTTTACCCACTGAGCCATCTCACTGGTCCTTATATTTTTCTTAGTTCTTTGAAAATGTTCTAGGACGCAGGAGTGCTCAGTGACCTTGCCTCATCTTACAGTCTGGTGTGGCCTGTGGCCGTGGTCATACCAAGATGCTGCAAAGCCTGAATGTCTGGGTCACCATGAAACCCTTCTATAGCCAGGTTTACTAGGACATTTGGGTAAGAATGGGACTAATGACCTTCGTCCTTGCAGCAAAGCTGTAAAAGGCTCAGCCCAAGGCCTTCGTTAACCGCTCCAAGTCCACTCAAGATAAACCTAACCCAACTGTTACGTGGGAACATGGAACATTGCTATACACCTGTTGGAGACACACCATGGGAAAGAGAAAATTTGTTCCATTGCTCTCTTCTTTGCTGAGGAATCTGACGCCAACCTGATCTTTCTTTTGTAAGAGAGGGCATCCTTCGATCTTGATAATTTTAGTTTCACTTTTCAACATACAGAATGCTTCACTTTATTACACAGTGTATGCTGGAATGTTGAGTTTGATTTTTTTTTACCTTTATTTTTTTTTTCATATGTATGACTGCTTTTCCTGCCTGTATGCCTGTGCATCACATGGGGTATGGAAGAGGCCAAAAGGGCCCATCAGATCCCTTGGGGCTGGAGTTCTAGGTGGTTGTGAGCAGTTAGGTGGATGCTCAGGATCGAACCCAGGTCCTCTGGAAGAACAGCCAGTGCACAATAAACTGGCACCCCCACCCCTCAGTTTATTGTTTTGTTCTAAGAAAGCCTTTTTGATGCTGGGTCAGTGATATAAAAATTCCAGACCACTGCTAGAACACTTCTGAATTACAAGGTGGACTCTTAAGATACAGTTTGTGGAGTTGGTGGTGCACCTCAATAAGAGAGGGCTGGCCCAGCACCTTCAGGGTTAGATTCAAGTCCCAGCAAGGTAAAAAAGGGTGGGAAGGGAGGGAGGAAGGAGCAGAGGTTGATTTTAGGTGTTTTCAAAATTGTGTTTTTATTTTGGGTAGTTTCAATTAGCAACAGGGATCTTGTCTTTTGTTGCTGAGAGCACTAATGTTACCCATGTTGTCTTTTTCTTTTCCTTTCTTTTCTGGTGCCTCGCTGATTTCCTGCCACATCTGCCTCCTCTTCCATACATTGTACCCTCGTATCTAAATCTTTCATGACATTGTTCTTCTGTCTGGTCACTCTCTTCCCCCATAAACTTGCTGCGTTTGCATTTGGATTTGTTTTTAATTTGTCACCCACGGAGTCTTTTTTTCTTTCTTCCACGATTGTCTGATTTATTGTAAGGACGATCTATGTCGGAATGCCATCTTAGTTTACTGTTTTATGGTCCCAGATGCTGTTGCTCAGGGTTTATAACTCTTAACAAGAGGCTCAGCAGCGTCTCCTCCAGCTTAGGTTGCTGTGGCAGTGATGGCTGCCTGCAGCTTCTTTGCCCATCACACACCGAGCCTTCCCTTCCAGATGGAAGATGCTCTTCAAGTTTGTGCTCTGTCCTTCAGACTTCCCAGCAGTCACTGCTCTCTAACCACGCGATCTCACACCTGTCTGCAGCATCTCGCCACTGTGGTCTGGGGAGTTCTGTGCAGCCTTGTGGCAGAGGAAAACCCCGGGGTTGTCACAGGAGTGAGGTCACAAGGGGCTTATCTGAGCAAGGAGCAGGGAAGTCTAAAAAGGAATGAAGAGGAAGGAGGGAGGATGCAGTTATCTGTTCAAATATAACAGGATATGTGGACATGAGAGCAAATAAAAAGGAAATTCAGGCTGGGGTGTGGCTCAGCTAGCAGAGTGTTTGCCCAGCACGCAGGGGCCGTGGGATCCCCCGCACTACATAAACCAGGTGTGGTGGCACATGCCTTTAATCCCAGCACTTGGCAGATGGTGGCAGGAAGATCACAAGTTTAAGGTCACCTTTAGCTGCAAAGAAAGTTTCAGGGCAGCCAGGTTGTAGGAGACCTTGCCTCAAGAAAAAAAAATCCAGAATTTCTCCAAGAGAAACACACAATATTGCCATCATGTGAACTACAATGAAACAGGGCGAACCCTAAAGTGTTTAGCCTGGGCGATGGCCCAGCCGGGTGACCCGGTCAGCCCTAGTCAGGTACAGACAGAGCTGGGGAGGGCACAGGATATTCACCAGGCTCATGAAGATCATCTTGAGTAGGAAGTTATACCCAGATAGGTAAGGGGAGGGAAGGATAAAGGAAGGGAGGAGATGGGCAGACAGGGGAGGACCCTGGGAAGGCACCTAAGGAAACAGGAGGGTTGAAACAGCTGAGAGGGTGATGTGGGGGCTGTAGAGTCTGGTTTGCAGGGAAGGATGGAAGGGGTGGTCCCAGTGTGGGCTGAGGTGGCTAAAGGCGAGGACCAAGGAGATGTAGTCATCCAGGAAGAAGGCTGTTCCCTACTCTGCTGAGTTTGGTCCTGAAAGAGAGCTTTCTTTCTGACTTGGGGGGGGGGGGTGAGCATCTTTGATGGCCACACCCTACACTGTTTTCCTGCCTCCTGGAGTAAAGGACAGAAAGGAGAGGCGCAGTCCCACCCGGGGACATGGGCAGCCACATATCTCCAGGGAGTTCTGGCCAGCTTCGGGATGGCCCAGGACAGGACAAGAGCGTGCCACTGAGTCAGCACAAGCAAGAGGACAAGTGGGAAGTCTGGGCAGGTGGGAGGCAGCAGGCTGCCAGGGCACACAGTCATTCCAGAGGTCCCCGGGCCTGAGACAAGACTCTCTGTTCAAGTTGAGCGTACCGAGGAAGAAGGGCCTCATAGACCTGGAGGGGCAGAAGGAGCAGGTCATAAATAAGAATGGGGAAGGGAAGTGCCTCTTACACGAGCTTGCAGCCTGCAATTTAAAAATGTAAATTCTGAGTCTGCTGCAATTGGTGCATGCCTTTAATCCCAACATCACAGGGAGGCAGAGGCAGGTGGATCTCTGTGAGTTCAAGGCCAACCTGGTCTACAAAGCAAGTTCCAAGACAGCTAGGTCTATTACACAGAGAAACCCTGTCTTCAAAAACAAACAGACAAAAGTAAAAGTGAATTCTGAGACTGGAGAGATGCCCCAGTGGTTTAAAACATGGCCTGCCCTTCCAGATGACCCAGGTTTAAGTCCCAGCACACACATGGCGACCCACTATGGTCTACTCTAGTTCCAGGGGGTCCAACACCCTCTTCTGGCATCCTAAGGCACCAAGCACGCACATGATGCATAGACATACATGTAGACAAAACACTCATACATATAAAATAAATAAAAATTTAAATAAATAATTTATAAAACTTACTCCAAAGTTCCAAAACCTTGTGTAAAAACAATGTGGATTATGACATCAGTAATTCCTCTATGCAGTTATGTACTAAAATAATGACAATTTGGATACATTAGATTAAGTGAAATATATTATTAAAACTAATTTTGTTTCTATTTTTACTCTTGAAAAATGAAAAGCTGGAGAGATGGTACAGTGAGCATGGATTGTCCTTGAGGAGGACCCAGGCTCAGTTCCCAGCGTCCTTGGTGTCTTTGTTAGCCAAGATGTAATTCCATTGTCAAGTACCTGAGACCCTTGGCTGAAACCCTAGCATCAATCCCCAGGTTCTTGGGAGGTGGAGGGTAAAATTTCCCTCTAGTTGGGCACAGCAGGTTTAATGTGAATGAGAAAGAAAACTTTGCCTTTCAACGAGAAGAAAAAAGACCCGAGCCAGACCAAGAAGGCAAATGACAAGAGAAAATCCACTGGCTTCTCACCTGGGAAGCTCTGGGGCTGGGGGTGGCAGCCAGGCTGGGATGCGGTGCTGACTTCACAACCTCTGAAAAGGCCACACCTGTCCCTCCTGCAAGGCCTAGAGGGGAAAGGTCATCTCACATTCGTGCACCTCACCAATGAGGCTGACCGGCTTGTGTGACAGCCACCTTGTGTGACAGCCACCGCTCCTGTGATAAACATGTCTGACCAGGAGGACAGGGCAGTGCAGCTCAGCAGCAGGTGACGCCTCAGCGTGCAAAGGCCCTGACTTCAACAAGCACCAGAACAGGAAAACCCACAAAGTGTTTAAACTGGATTAGCCCAGCTCAGATGAGTTGGTGAAAGTCACTGGCAGCAAAACTGCTAAAAACACTTTAAATGGGTGATGTTTTTAAAATTTTGCATAATTGGAGAATGGCAAGCTCAAAGCCCACTTGGAATCCAGAGTGAACTGAAAGTCAACCTGGACAACTTTGTGAGACCTCGCCTCAAAACAAAAAGTATATATGATAGAGAGAAAGAGAGAGAGGCTTGTGCTATAGCTTACCAAGCACAGACTAGCACAGGCCCTAGGTTCAATCCCCAGTACGGGGTAAGAAGTAAACATTTAGGAGTAAATTCCCAGTGCTCCAGCTCCATGAAGTTGCATGAGGTGATGGAAAAGGGGGGGTAAGGATAAAAGGGTTCACGTCTAAGCGAACAGCACATCACCCATTTGCAGTGTTGAAAGAAGCATCAAGTTTAAGGAGATGTGTTGAGAAGTGAAAGAATGAACCCCGGGGGAAAGGGTGGAGCCCTAGACGAATCTGACAGGCGTTCCCTAGCAGACAGATGACAGGGAAAAGCAACCTAGCTGAGGGGGCTGACCTTAACCCCAACTCTTGTCTTCCAGCACAGTCTGAAGTTTCAGGCAGACAGCATTCAGAGCCTGGGCCTCAAGGGAGCTGTCCACGGTTCTGGACTCTGGCTCTGAGGCCTTCACTATTGTCCCGGTTTCTTGCTGTTCTGGACTTCATCCCTAACCATTGCCTTCCTCTCCACTAGATGCTTAGACCTAGACCCACGTCCTGCAATGACCTGTGACCTTTTTGGTCCTTCTCTGAAGGACCTGACTCTGATCAGGCCTCATCCAGTTTGAATCCTATCTCCCTTTCTCCACTCTAACTAGAGAATACAAGACATGGTATGGGCTAATTTTTGCCTGCTGGGAGGGACAGAAATGAGGCTAACACTCCTGAGACCCCAAGTCCTTCACCCTGGGAATGCCATCTGTGGTGGTCTGAAAGACAATAGTCCCTAAAGGGAGTGGCACTATTGGAAGGTGTGGCTTTGTTGGAGTAGGTGTGGTCTTGTTGGCGGAAGTGTCCCTGTAGAGGAGGGCTTTGAGGGCTCCTACATGCTCGAGAACACTATTTCAGTGTCAGACGCTGCCCAGTGTCTCAGATCACTTCCTGTTACCTACAAGATGTAGGACTCTCAGCTCCTCCAGCACCATATCTGCCTGCATGCCACCACGCTCCCAGCCATGATAATAATGGACTGAACCTCTGAAACTGGAAGCCACCACCTCAATTAAATGTTTTCCTTTATAAGAGTTGCCGTGGTCATGGTGTCTCTTCACAGAAATAGAAACCCTAACTAGAACACCATCCTTTCCCCCTTTCCCCTCTTTTCATCCCCAGTGGTGCCTAAACACTTCCAGAGACAGCCATGCCCATTCATTGACCTACCATGAAAAGCTCGGTACGCAGAGCCCACACAGGCTGAACTGGTGGTGTCTATGACATACACGGGGGCCCCAAAAACATCTGCGAGCACCTGGGAGGGACAGAGGGTACAGTGGGTGAGTGGTCACTCAGAGAGACCATTGAGAACCTTCCAGGCCCTGCTCCCCTTCCTCATAACTTCCATTAGACCACAGCTGCCTGCCTTCGGTATGCTTAGCACGGGGAGCCGGTGATGAGATAGGATGACCCAGAGGAAGTCCCTAGGAAGGGCCAGTCTCCAGGCTGTCCCTGTACCTTTTAAATGACAATACCCTACCATATAGCTCCGGCCAGCCTGATATTTACTATGTAATCCAAGCTAACCTCAAACTCATCATCTTCCTGCTGAGTAAGCATACAGCAAGCATGCACCACCATGCCCCGAACTTTCTTGTTTTGTTTTGTTTTTTCAAGACAGGGATTCTCTGTAGCTTTGGAGCCTGTCTTGGAACTAGCTCTTGTAGACCAGGCTCGCCTCAAACTCACAGAGATCTGCCTGCTTCTGCTTTCCGAACTGGAATTAAAGGCGTGCGCCACCACCACCCCACATCCTGTTCTTTTTTAAAAAAGAGGGAAACAGGGTTGAGAAAGTACCTCCAGGAGATTAGCCTGCAGACAAACCTGCGGGGCATTTGCGTTTTCTTAATTAATGATTAATGTGGGAAGGGAAGTCCATTTCATGGTGGGTGGGTGGGGCCACCCCTGGGCAGGTGGTCTTAGGTGCTATAAGAAAGCAGGCTGAGCAAGCCATGAGTCAGCAGCACCTGTCCATTCCTGCATTAGATCCTGCCCTGACCTCCCTCAGAAATGGATTTATAAGCAATAAGGTGAAATCAATCCTTTTCTCCCCAAGTTGCTTTTGCTCATAGTGTTTTATCACAGCAATGTAAACACCCTCACCAATTCTATTTATTTATTTTCAGTGCTGGGAATCACACCCAGAACCTCAAGTGTCACAAGGCGAATGGATGGGAGAAGATGGCTCATTCGGTGAAGAGCTTGCTATATACACACAAGGACCAGTTTTAAACCCTAGAAACCCATATTTTAAAAAAAAATCGCTGACTGTGTAGCACATGACTATAATCCCAGCCGTGAGGAAACAAATCCCTCAGACTGGCTAGCCATTCTGGTCAAATCTGTGAGCGCCAGGGTCAGTGAGAGACTCTGTTCTCCCAAATAAGGAGACCGACTGAGGAAGACACCTAGTTCCTGGATGCAATGACGCAGAAGATGTGGTGCAGGACTACCACCACACGTACCTGTAAGATGTCTTTATTGTGAGATGCTCCCCCTGTGGCCAGAATCTTTGTTTTGGGCACTGTAAAACAAAAGACGAAACAACTGAAGTGGTGGTAGCAATTCTCCCAGGGCAGAGAGGCCTGCCTTTCAGTCGTGGATGGCTTGTAGTGGGTCTATGGCCCCTGCTGATCTCCCAGGGCTGTGCAGAGACCCAAAGCTTGACTTATGGTGGATCTTAGACCCCTCATATGTGATCTGCAGTCCGTCTGCCCTGATTGTCTTTATCAACTTGTTGCAAAGGGAGCGGTGGGCTGCGTTCCTGCCAGGATCCCAGCTCCCGGCTAGTTTACACCTGAAATAATTACACAGAAACCGTATTCACTTAAACACTGCCTGGCCCATTATCTGTAGCCTCTTATTGACTAACTCTCACATATTGATTCAACTCATTTCTAATAATCTGTATCTTACCACGAGGTCATGGCTTACTGGGAAAGATTCAGCATGTCTGACTTGGCAGCTTCATGGCAGGCAGCTCTCTGCCTCTGCCTGACTCTGCTTCTTTCTCCCAGCATTCTGTTCAGTCTACTCCACCTATCTAAATCCTGCCCTAACAAAAGCCAAGGCAGTCTCTTTATTAACCAATGAAAGTAACACATAGACAGATGACCCTCCTACATCATCAACTAAAAAAAATTAAAGGAAGAATTTGGAGTTGGGGATGTAGTTCAGTTGGCAGAGTGCTTGCCTAGCAAACACAAGGCCCTGAGTTCAACCATGAGCACCCCACTATGCCCTACCCCCAAGAAATAGAAAAGGGGGGGGAATCTCCCACCATGTTAATAACAGAACAGAATTTTCTTCATTTGATAAGGGCCTTCATATCCAAACCATACATTTCATTTTGTATGTATGTATCTGTGTATGTGGTCGCACATGAGCGGTGGAGGCCAGAAGAGGGCACTGGGTCCCCTGGATCTGGCACTTGGCAGGAGTGGTGGGGACTGAACCTCTGGTCTTCTATAAATGCAGAAGGAACTCTTAACCACTGAGCCATCTCTCTTCCACCACCCTTTAGAAGGGATTGAAGTAGGATTTCTTTTTTGTTTATTTGGCGTTTTTTGTTTGTTTTTTTGTTTGTCAATATGGAGTTTCTTTGTAGCTTTGGAGCCTGTCTGTCCTGAAACTCGCTTTGTAGACCAGGTTGGTCTTAAACTCACAGAGATCCGCCTGCCTTTCATCTCCCCACCCCAATACTAGGATGACAATATGTACCACTATTCCCAGCCCAGCCAGACAAACAACATTCTTTTTTACATTTATTTCTTTATGCATGTGTGTCTATTCTTGAAATGCACTTTTTATTTTTAGACACTATTAAAACTAAGCATGATGACAGACCAAGAACAAAATCTGATCTGGCCAATACACCCAACAAATACACCTCCATGGATGCACCTTTTTGTTTGTAAGCAGAGCTTGTCTGGGAGCTGGAGCTATGGCTCAGCGCTAGAGGATCTGCCTAGCAGGTATAAGGTCCTAGGTTCCATTGCCAAAGAAAATAAAAATAGGGGTTGGAGAGATGGCTCAGTGGTTAAGGCACTAGCTGCTCTTCCAGCGGACCCAAGTTCAATTCCCAGCACCCACATGGCGGCTCACAACTGTCTGTAGCTCCAGTTCCAGGGGCTTTGGTGCCCTCTTCTGGCTTCTGCACACAAGTGGCACACAGACATCTATGCAGCCAAAAACATTCATAAACATAAAATGAGATTTTTGAAATGAAAAATAAAAATAATAAATAAAAAAGGAACCTGCTGAGAGATAGCTCAGCAGATGAGGGCACTTGGTGACAAGCCTGACATCCTGAGTTCAATCCCCAGGGCTCATGTCATAGAAAAAGTGAACTGACCCCCAAAGTTGGGCAATTAGAGCCAGCTTCTGTGCCTTGATCACACAACCTCATTTCTTAAAGACTTCTGAGGACTTTGGAAACCTTCAGGATTTAAAAAACCTAGGTCCCCAAGATGGTTAGATGAGGGAGTACATAGGAATTATCTTACTTATTTTAATATATGTACTAAAACTCAGGTGTTGTTAGTACACACTTCTAACCCCAGCACTTGGGGAAGTAAGGAGGGTCAGGAGTTCAAGGTCATCCTCAGCTAACGAGCAAGCTCAAGAAGTCCCTAGTGGTGGGATTGCATGTATGAGCTGGCATGCTCATTTTATATGGTGCTGGGGATGGAACCAGGGCCTTGGGTCAGGCAGGCATCTACCAACCGAGCCACACCCAACTCGAACTATCCCGGTTTAGCAGCAGCAGGTAGTGTCTGCACTGGGTCTGAACTCCATCTTCCTTTGCTCAGTGCCAGTCTGTGCCATCTACAAGTTCAGTGAGTGTAATTAGGGGTTCACTCCATTTCTGTGTGGTACCCTATCCAATGAATACACATACTGTCTACATTTTTTTTTGTTTTCTTTTGACTTTTGTTTTGTTTTGTTGAGACAGGGTCTCTCTGTGTCACCTGACTGGTCTAGAACTCAGAGACCTGACTGCCTCTGCCTCCCAAGTGATGGGATGAATGACAAACGCCCCCACACCCAGTGCCTCATGACCAAGGTCATTCTGTCTACTCTCAATAGATACTAGATTGCTTTCATTTTGGGACTAGTAAGCGAAGGTCACACTGAATGTTCCAGTCACACTGAATGTTCTCACAGACACTTTTTTTTCATGGGTATCTTTAATGAACATATATGTATGTTGCTATGCATGTTTACATAAGAATACAATTGCTGGCATGGTATATATTCAGTTTAAGTAGATGCTGTCTATTAGGTTTCCCGAGGCTTCCTTTTATAGCACCCTTTTACTTGGTTGGTTCAAAGACAATAAGACATTCTATACAGGACCTGAACTGTTCATGAAAGCCTCCTATGGGCACTCCTAAGCAAAGAGGCTTCATGGGAATTTTGTTGTTGCTATTGTTTATTTGTTGAGACAGGATCCCGCTATGTAGCCCTGGCTGACCTCAAACTCACAGATCCACCTGCCTCTGCCTCCCTAGTGCCGGGTTAAATGACAAAATGACAAACACTGCCACCTTCAGTGCTTCACCGGGACACTAGTGGGCTCGTACAGCTGTCTAGGATCCTTATCGTAGCCCAACTCCATCAGCAGTGGGGAGTCACTGAGCTCTGGGACCTGCTTGCTCTGCAGCTAAGTTCTTAGGAATCCCTTCCCCAAGCCATGGGTCTGCCCTCTCTACCCAGCCCTGTGAGTGTTGGCAGTGGTACTACATGACCACTTTTTCTGGTCTAAGCTGTCACGGCCCCAGAACACAGCCCTTCTACCCGCACTGTCCGTATCCCCAAGTTCAGAGCTCAGGATGCGTATCTGCAGGTAGGACTTGGGGGACCCGGAGGACCTCTGCTAATGCCTACAGCTCATGACCAAAAGATCAGGTAAGCAGTGACGGAGCAGAGAAGCAGGTGACCCTGCTGCTACACACCTGCTCACGCGTGCCTGGATCACTCCCTCACCCTACCCAGGACCTCACCGAGGCCACCCGCCTTCTCCTGACCACATTCGGTGATGACTTGATCTCTTGGCCTCAGCTCTTGACCTCAGCCCCTCCACAGTCCCAGAATGCATCCAGCTGGCCGCTCACTTACTGACTCGGTAGCCTAGCCCTTCTGCGTGGATTCTTTTGGCCATGAACTGTCCTTCGATCAGTGCCCGAATCTCCACATCCCCAGGGAATGCTGAGACCTGTTTACAGAAAGTAGGTACAGCATGAGGACTGTGAGTGTTCTTGTGTACGTGCAAGTGAGATCGTGTGTGTGTTTATGTTTGTGTGTGTGTGAATGCACGTGCATGAGTGTGCACCATGCACACGAGAACATTCACACGTGTGTAAGTGATCTTACTTTAACCACCAATTTCACCTGTCACATCTTCACACGGACACAGCCCTCACATGCACGCCTCACCTGTGTGCCACTCTGAGGTGTCCGTGACATCGCGGTGCTTGGTTTCAGGCAGCCAAGGGCACAACTTCCAACTTAAACATTTCCCCTGCGATCTCAACTGTCATGTGGATCTTCCTGTTCTGTCCTCTTTCCTAACCTAGGGCCACAATGGTGGAACCTTGTTTTCAAGGTCACATGACCAAATTAGATTGTCGGGTCTAAGGATTCGGAGTTCGTGTTTGATAAGTGACAGCCGTGAACTCATCCTGAGTATCCACAATGACGACTATGAAGCATCAAGACAACTCTGATGGGCGTCACCCCAGGCTGAGGCCTGACCTCCAGTCCCTCGGATCAAGAAGTAAATCTGCCGTTCTCTGTCGCTGCTCTTGCAGAGGACTTGGCTTTGGTTTCCAGTACCTACATGGCAGCTCACAACCACCTGTAATTCCAGTTCCAGGGGATCCAGTGTTTTTTTTTTTTTTTCGATCTCTGAAGTCACCAGGCACACAATGTGAATACATTCACGCAAGCAAACACTTACATAATAAGCAAATATAGAAAAAAAAACACTCATAACCGACTGAGTGAATGAATGAATGAATGAAGAACACTACTTTTTCCTTGGTAAGCGTAGGACTGATGTACACAAGGACAGGCATGTGTGCCTTTTCTCTATAAACAGAAACTGAACTAGCTCCAACTTGATGACCAGGATGAACTTTCTATGCTTTTTGTCTGTTTGTTTTTTTGAGACAGAGTCACTCTACACAGTCCTGGCAGTCCTGGAACTCGCTCTGCAGACCAGGCTGGCCTTGAACTCACAGAGATCTGCCTGAATCTGCCTCCTGCGTGCTGGGATTAAAGGTGTGCACCACCGCCCCGAAAACTTTCTACATCTTATCCAAAGCATTCTATCGGATGTGTAACACTTAGTCTGCAACACCAAAGCTATGTCCCCCTGACTAGTACAGCATTAGAACATCTCACCAAGGTTCCCCGACAACCACTGGGTTCACAAGCATCCTCCAGCTCCTACCTCCAAAACATGGTGTCAACTCACGGTAACAACCAGAAAAATCCATCCCAAACAGGGACTCTCCCAGAAGGGGCCCCATGGAAAGGAAAGAAAAGTGGCTTTTGTGACAAGAAGGGCCTGGTTTTGAGCTTCCTCCACCGCCTGTGACCTCGTGACTTTGGGCAGGCCACTGAGGCCTCAGCTTCCCCTTCTGTAAAAAGGGTTCATCATCCCTACATTACAAAGTTGCTTAGAGAAAGAGGATGATGCTGAGAGGCAATGGTGCTCAGCGAATGTTCCCATCTCCCACATAGGTTCTTCCCACCAGGAAGAAACTCCTGCCCTCAGGACCAAGGGCTACTGGGAGGCGGAGGGTAAGGCCACCAAGGGGATACCCAGTGACACCAGTCCGAGAGCAGACAGTAGTTCACAGTGTACCCTGGTCCCCTGCATTCCTCCCTGGAGGAGGGACAGTGTCTGCCAACCCCTGCTGAGCCCTCAGCCTCTAGAATAGACCGGAGCACACATGTAGGTGAGCAGATGAGTGAGCCCTACAAACAGTATGCTCTGAGGCTGGCTTTTAAACACAGCACTGACACCAGAGTCGATGGAAACCCACAGCGTATGGGGCTGGGGCGCTAGCTGAGCACTTGGAAGACCTGCGGTACGAGCAACAGGGCCTGCGTTTGGAACCGTAGAGCCCTCAGACACACGAGGTGGGCAGGGTGGCTTGCCTGTAGGTCCAGCCTCAGAAGGTGGAGACAGAGAATCCCCAAAACAAGCTCTGGGTGTGATCCAGAAAACCTGTCTCAATGAATCAAGTGGAAGAGCAACTCAGGGAGATTCCCAGCGTCAACCTCGGGCTGCCACATGCATGCACACCCGGCAACACACATGCAAACATGCACGCACACCACACACATATACACATGAAAAGAAAACCAAAAACATAAGTACCTCAGTGTTTTCTGCGTTAAACCTATGACGTCCCATAATTCCAGGGGTGATCTCCATTACATCGAAATAGAAACCTGACAGGGAACCAGGAAGGGATTAGCTGTCAGCGACCCAGGACAAAGAACAACTTCTCAAAAGACTTTACAAAGGGCGAGGCAAAGTTACCTCAGCTGCGCCTCAGGCTCCCCCCGTCCCTCATCCCCTCGAGGAGCCCTGTGGTATCCTCAGTCCTTTCTCTCCAGCAGAACAGAAGGGACTGGGAAGGCCTGGGCTGTCCTGAGGTAACTCTTCCCCCTTTCCCTCGGCAGCTCACTAACCCCAGCCCCAACCGAGGTGTGCTCAGGAGATATGGCCTTTCCTTCCTCAGGACGTGGCCTGGGTGCTGCATCCTTCCTCACACAGCCTTGTCTGGGGCAGGAAGCTGCATACTGTGAAGTAGCAGGGCACAGTAGACCCTAGAGCAGTCAACTCATTCCCTAGGGGCTTTGACAGGGTAGAAGATACAGCTAGAGTCTAACCTTTCACAGCCAAGGGAAGCTTCATGACCCCACCCTCAGAACCTGGGGCCTACGGCAGTGTAGACAGAAAGGACCCCCTTCCCCGCAAACCTCTCCATGCCCCCAATTCATGGCACTCTAAGCCTTCCAGCCCCTGTACACAGGCCCAACCTACCCAAGTTGCCCTTGTTCCCCATCTCTGTGGACTGCAGGGCTTTAGAGAACTTGCTCCAAGAACCGGAAGCAGACTCATCTCTGATCTTCTCTCTCATAAGGGAGCCATTCTTAAAGCTGCAGAAACACACACAGGATGAGTCCTGGGCTCCTGGTGTAGGGTTTCCTTTCTATGTGTTGCTTTCATTGGTCAAATAAAGAAACTGCCTTGGCTTTTTGATAGAGCAGGATTTAGATAGGTGGAGTAGACCGAACAGAATGCTGGGAGAAAGAAAGCAGAGTCAGACAGATGTTATGGCTCTCCTCTCCAAGACGGATGCTGGTTAGACTCATGCCAGTAAGCCAGTCAAGTGGCGATACACATTAGAGGAGATGGGTTAAACGAATATGTAAGAGTTAGCCAATAAGAAGTTGGAACTAATGGGCCAGGCAGTGTTTAAATGAATACAATTTGTGTGTTGTTATTTCGGGGTATAAGCTAGCCAGGCGGCCGGGAGCCAGACGGGAAGCAGCCCGCAGCTCCTCTTTACTACAGGCTCCCAGGTTTTGTAGTGGTGTTGGGAACCCAAGTTCTCCACATGCTAGGCAAGGATTATACCGCTGAACTTTACATGCAGACTGGACCCAGGGGTTTTGGAAGAGTCCTGGACAGGGTCTTCAGGTCAGGCTAGACCACAACCCCTGGGCTCGGTTGCGCCAGACCTATCTGCACCTCCCTCCCCCGACCCAGAGAGTCCAGGATTACCACAGAAGAGCCATGTAGTGCTGCACATCGACGGGGTTGCAGAAGATGTGGCCTTCCAGGGCAGGCATGGGTTCTTGGAGCCAGAGAAATAGGGTGTCGCTGGTGCCCAGGCTGACCTGAGGAGAGCAGAGTGGAGGGTGAGGTGCTCCCTTTCTGCCAGTGATGCACACCACACCCTGCCACCCCTTCATCCAATCACTCCATTCCTCACACTGCAGGTGATGACTGCCACCTCCTCAGAGACACTTCTTGACTCTCCCCATACCAGATGAGGTAAAGGTCTACCACCCAGATCCAGGTTCTCATGAGCACCATGACTGACTTTCTAGAACTTAATACAAAATCTTCAAAATAATGGTTCCCCAAATGGCTCCCTTCCTAAGTGTAGAAAGCCATAGAATAAACCTTCCCATGTACCTGGGAGTCCACAGCACCCCGGCCCACATCCAACACTTTCACACTATGCCCAGCAGACAAGGGTCATGCTTGACATCAGCGAAGGGCAATACTAGCTAAGGTTAGACTGTGGGACACCATCCTCTTTAGAGGCAGCAGACCCTCCTAGGTGTAGCAAACACACAACTGAGACTGAGCACCTCGGTCCCCAGGACAGAAAGTCTAGAAGTGAGGAGCTGTCTTACCGCAATGTCACCTTCTTCCAGCCTCATGCCCGCCAGCGATGCTGAGGGTGGGAGGGAAACACCAGGTTAGCCAGAGTCATGTGACCCACAGAGCAAACTGCAATAGCTGCCCAGACAGCAGTACAGATATTAACCAACAGTTCAGCAAACTGAGGGTTCAAGGAGCCCCAAAGGTGACAGGGGTCAGAGGGTGGACTGCTCTATTTGGGTTGAAAAGTCTGTTCCCTCAGGGATTCGAACTCCCTCCACCACCTGGTTCTCCAAGAAGTCCAGAGAATCCGAGCAGACCAGGCACACATGACAGGGAAGACCAAGGTGAGGCTGGAGCACGATGTTCCTGAACCGGGACGAAGGAAGGGCTGAGGTCATGGTGACTGCCCTACCCCCAGACACAGGGTCCCCAGCAGCAATCTTTCTGTGACCCCATTGCTGATACACCCCACCGCTGAAGAAGACAAGGCACATAGCTGGTGCTCACTAAATGTGGAGTGAAGGAGACATGGGGCAGGAACAGACACTTCTGGATTCGCCTAGAGGGCTGGGCTTTGAGGCTGTGCGCATGCCCAGGCACTGAAGAGAACTTTGCAAAGCTTCCTCCACAGGAGGTCAGGCTGATGGGTAGGCCAGCTGAAGCCTGGGCACCAGCACAGCACACCGATCAAAAGGATGATGGCTCACACATGGGCACAGGACAACGTCGACAAGGAGAATCCCTCCAATTTCCACTATTCTTTGAAGGGTTAGGAACAGGGTGGGTTTCCCTGTGGAGCACACAGCATACGCCTCAGAATGGCCTACTGGTCTTTCTTGAGCGACCAGAGCGATGTGTGATTCTCCTCTGTATGCTGTGAATATGTTTGATTGCCGTTGGTTAATAAAGAAGCTGCTTTGGCCTATGGCAGGGCAGGCTAGAACTAGGTGGGAAAACTAAACTGAAGGCAGGGAGAAAGAAACTGGAGTCTGGCAGACGTCAAAGAAAGATGCCAGAACCTTACTGTTAAGCCAGAGCCTCGTGGCAATACATAGATGAATAGAAATGGGTTAATTTAGATATAAGAGCTAGCTAGGAATATGCCTGAGCCGTTGGCCAGTGTTGTAATTAATACAGTCTTTGTGTGATCACTCAGGTCTGGAGGTCTGGGAAACAAAAGTGCCGTCTCTGTCTACACCAGAGGCCCTGAGAGTCCCTGAAGGAGAAGAGGCGGGGGGGGGGGGGGCCCGGGGGGGGGCCACAAGAAACAAACTGCGCTTATGGCTCTAACGACCTCAAAACCGTGTCCTCAGAGAAGCCGAGATGGTAGCTGGAATAGGTCAGGACCAAGCTGGGGTTGAGACAAAGTCAGATTTCAGAGGGAAAGAGAACACCACAGAAGGCTTCATCAAGAAGCTAGACTGTGGGCTGAGCGTGGTGGCATGCCCTCCTACCCCCAATGCTGGGTCCCAGCATTGGAGAGGTGGAGACCTAATAGATCTTTGAGGCTCTACCACAAAGTGGCCTCGTCTAACTGAGAGTTCCAGGTTAGTGAGAAACCCTACTTTAAAAAAAGGAAGGTAAGCAGCATATGAGGAATGGCAGACATCAGAGGCTGTCCTCTGATCTATACACGCACATGCACACGCACACACACACACACGTGCACATGCACCTGCACACACAAGTGCACCTGCATACACACATGAGAGAGACATGAACAAGAAGACGAGTGTAATTCTTTAAAAGTCCAGTATGAACCAGGCGTGGTGGCTCACATCTGTATTCCCCATACCCAGGGAGGGAGGACCGATGAGCACCTAAGGTCAGTCTGGGCTACACAGGAAGATCCAGGCTTTCAGAGGGAGACCCCATCTCAGTTAGATATCTATGGAGAAAGGCAGGAAGTCCAGCAAACCCACAGTCACTTGGAAAGCAACCCTCCTGAGGCACTTACCTGGGTTGTCCCCAGTGAAGGCCACCACTTTGCACGCAGGAGGGAATCCATAGCGCTGGACATAGTAGGAAGAAATGGCTCCCTAGGGAGAAAGAGTACCTGTGTTCTGCTGATGTAACCACAGCCTGTTCAGCCCAGCCATGCTCACCACAACTCAGGAGACCCCTGGCTCCAGGCCTTCCACACCTCAGGCCATGAGGATGCTGCAGGCATCTGTGGCAGAGCCTAGAGCACCATCATCCTTCCCAGCCACACCCAGCAGAAGGAGCCCAGAACAGGTGTGGAACCACAGGCCTGAGGTCACCTCCAGAATCATAGGAGTCTGAGATTGAGGGTAGTTAGAACATACCAATCTCTAACTTGAACCTACTTTGTGAACACCAAATTCTGGATAAAATGTTGAAGAAAAGAAAGTAACAGAGCATTGGTAAGCAAGCTCACAGATACAGCAGATGCCTTGCTTGTTTATTATGCCAGCAACCAGACTAGAATAATCAGATAGGCAAGTGCATAGAAAAATCTTCTAAAAAAAAAAAAACTAACCTCAGGGTTAGCCTGGACTACAAAGCAAATTAAAGGCAAGCCTGAACTAGATAGCACACTAAAGGCCAACCTGGACCACATGAGATTGTCTCAAGAAAAAGGGGGTAGATTAGGCGTGTAGTTAATTTGTCAGAATGCTCCACTAGCCTGCATAAAACAGTGGATTTGAACCCCAGCACCCTGCAAAACCAGGCATGGCAAGGGGGCTGGAAAGATGGTTCAGCAGTTAAAAGCACTTAGTGCTATAGCAGAGGACCTGGGTTCAGTCCCAGCACCGCATGGTGACTCACAACCATTCATAACTCCAGTTCCAAGGAATCTTCTAACTCTGTGGGCACTGCATGTACATGTTGAATGCAAAACATGTAGGCAACCACTCTCACACACAAAATAAATAAATCTTAAAAAAAAAATTAAACCAGACACAGTGCTGTACGTGTAATCTTAGCCTGGGCTACACAGCAAGTTCTGGGCCAGCCTGGGATCCCAAAGGCCCTGTCTCAAAAATTAGTAATAATGATAATAATAAAACTAAAGAAAATTAACTAAAAAAAATTGGCAGTTTATGGTAGGGGACTCCTTTAAAATAAGAGCAGAGATCATCTCTTCCCAAAGAGATAAATATTATATAGAAAGAAGTTAGAAAAGGCAGGGCATGGTGGTTAATGCCTGTAATACCAATACCTAGGAAGCTGAGACAGGAGGATGGTTATAAATTCAAGACCAGTCTGGACTACAAAGCATTAGGTCAGCATGTGCTTCACAATAAGATTGCCTCAAAGAAACAATTTTTTTGCTTTGTTTTGTTTTTTTGAGACATGGTTTCTCTGTATAGCCCTGGCTGTCCTGGAGCTTACTTCATAGACCAGGCTGGCCTCAAACGCATAGAGATCTGCCTGCCTCTGCCTCCCAAGTGCTGGGATTAAAAGTGTGCGCCATCACCACCTGACAAGAAACACATTTTTAAAGTATTTTCCCCCCAGTGTAGGGGAAGACAACTTGGTGTTTCCATCAGAACAAGCCACCCCCTGGGAAGAGAAACATCTTGACCTGGGTTGCCTCAGAAGCCAGGGAGTGATGGGGCCTGCATGCAGGTTACCTTGGAGGAGTGACCTAGGAGACTAGAGAAAACAAGAGGGCCAGAGGCCTAAGAGTCACTGTCCCACTGGGCACCCCAAAGGCCACAGAGGCTGAAGCCACAGAGGAATCTCTGAAAGCTGGGTTGGTCCTGAGGACTGTCTTTCTGGGAACAAGCCGGGGGCCGTCATGCACACACAGGTTCCCATGCCTCTTTGACAATGGCTGCTCTACACACTCATAGGACACATGAGTCAGGAAAGTTCAATATAGAAGGTATAATTCCAGCAGGGGTGACACCTGCATGAAGCCACCGCGACTTTTGATGCACGGTTGGTTAGTAAAAAAAAAAAAAATGCATTCTTCAGAACTGGCTCTTTCCAATTCCTCCAACACCTCTGAAAAAGACTCCCTTAGATGTGTTCCTGGCGTAGCGAGAGCAAAGCCTTAGGCAAAGCCTTAGACGAAGACTTGGTCTCTATTTCACATAAAACAAAAGGCCACGGATTACAGTAACATTCCAGGGGCTCAGTGTACAGACAAAAAAAAAAACAAAAATAAAAGCGAAATTTCCACACTTCAACAATCAGGCCACATCTACTTATTTGGGGCTTGATCCCTAGTGACCCATGATATCTTATATACAACTGAAGCCTAACTTTTTTGTTGTTTGTTTTTAGAAACAGGGTCTCACTGTGTGGCTCTTGCTGTTCTGGCACTTGCTATGTAGATCCACCTGCTCCTACCCTTCAGTGTTAGGATCAAAGGCCTCGCCACCACTCATGCTTGGATCCTACTTTTTTTTTTTTGAGACAGATTTCTCTGTATAACTCTGGCTGTCTTGGAACTAGCTCTGTAGACCAGGTTGGCCTTGGATCCACGTGTCTCTGGGATTAAGGCCCAGCCAAAGACTAATTCCTAATGAACATGGCATGTTACAAATGCCCTAGTCTCAAATAAAACAATGTATGCTGCAACATTCGTTGCTCAGCAAGGTAACTTGGTATCTGCCTGTCCACCCTGATGGGGACCCCACACAATGGGACAAGAGCTATCGTTTAACTCCCGCTGGCTGTAGTCTGTGAACTCCCAGTCTTTCAGCAGCGTGATCCTCTCTGGACACTGGGCCTCTTGTTTTAATTAATTCTCCCTTGGTTTATGCTTTGGTAAATTTTTTGTGGCCGCACCACTGTCTGGCCTTCTATGCTGTTTCATACAGAAGCTGCCAGTCATCTGGTTACCTTTTCTGTCTTTTTGGCCTGCGGCATCCACGCCTTTGCGTCTTGCACTGTAGGATGCTCTCCCTTCAGCTCTGCGTACTGGCTTCATAGAATACCTGGGGGAGCAGTGGTTGGGTATTCTGCCCAGGGTAGCATGTCAGTGAGAATCTTACGGGAAAACAATGGCTATGCTTGAGCGTGGCAACAGCCCATCTTCCTGGTGGCCCATGACCATGACCTGAAGCTCCTCCTTCCTTCACAATCAGTCATCTGTCCCATATGGGATTCTTTTTTATTGTTCTGGCTTCATATGTGTGTCATGTGTACCAAAAGATACCTGGACCCTCCTTACCCCATGTCTCCTCTGTATAGTCAAGAACAGGGCTGGCCAACCAGATCACACTTGGGTGTTTAATCCATATCCATTCCAAACGGTGGCACTATACTCATGATCAAGTGCCCTTAACTTACTAGTGTGTCCAATCACCATCCAAAATACACTACATCTCATCTCATTTGCACAGGAGCCTTGTAAGAGAGACAGGATTATTCCCAGATGAGGAAACAGAACACTGATTAAACAGAGGCAGGCTGGGCTAGGTACAGTGGCACACACCTTCAACCTCAGCACTGGAGGGCAGAGGCAGGTGGGTCTCTGCACACTCTAGGCCAGCCTGGTTCCAGGCCATCAAGGCCTATAGAGAGACCGTGCCTCAAAACAAAACAAAACAAAACAAAACGAAACAAAGCAAAGCAAAACCAACAATGGACCATAAGCAGGCAGACTTGACCAAAGCAGGGGTTTAATCTCAGTCAGTGTGATGCTAGGGCCTGTGGTCTATCAGGTCCTTAGCACTTATATTTTCCAGAACCTGGCCACCGCCTTCTTCCGTGCCAATGCCCAGAACCTCAGCACTGTGCATTTTTACCCTCAGGTGTGCAGATACCCAGAAATCCTTCCGAGAGTTTGGAAATCTAGCCCTGCTGTGGACAAGCCCCTAATCCAGACAGATGGTCAGATATTCCGACTAATGTCAAATGTTGAGTTTAGGTTTAAGGAAAGTGTGTGTGTGTGTGTGTGTGTGTGCATGGATGTGCACACCCTCCTAGGCTCCACCAGAGTGCCAGTGCCCCACAGGCGCCATCACTGAAAAGAGGACTTACCACAACTGAGCACGAGGGGACTGGTGAGCCGAGCTTCTCCTCTAGACGGGGGGCACAGGCACCAAGGCAAGCTTGGGACCAGACTTTTTCCTGGATCTGCAACAAATTCATTCCAGAACCTAAGCAAAGAAGGAAGAAGGAAAGAAACAAAAATAAAAACATCTGACAGACCTAAACAGAGAATTCTCAACAGAGGAATCTAAAATGGCTCGAAGACACTTAAGGAAATGCTCAACATCCTTAGTCATCAGAGAAATGCAAATCAAAACAACACTGAGATTCCATCTTACACCTGTAAGAATGGCCAAGATCAAAAACACTGATGACAACTTATGTTGGAGAGGTTGTGGGGGGAAAGGGAACACTTCTGCATTGCTGGTGGGAGTGCAAGCTATTACAGCAGCCCCTTTGGAAGTCAGTGTGGTGATTTCTCAGAAAATTAGGAAACAACCTTCCTCAAGACCCAGCAATATCACTTTTGGGTATATATCCAAAGGATGCTCAGTCGTGCCACAAGGACATGTGCTCAACTATGTTCATAGCAGCATTGTTTGTCATAGCCAGAACCTGGAAACAACCTAAGTGCCCCTTGACCAAAGAATGGATAAGGAAAATGTGGTACATTTACACAATGGAGTACTACACAGCAGAAAAAAAAACATTTTGAATTTTGCACGAAATTGGATGGAGCTAGAAAACATTATTTTGAGTGAGATAACCCAGACACAGAAAGACAATCATCACATGTATTCACTCATAGGTGGCTTTTAAACATAAAGCAAAGAAAACCAGCCTACAATTCACAATCCCAGAGAACCTAGACAACAATGAGGACACTGAGAGAGACATACAGAGATATAATCTACATGGGAAGTAGAAAAAGACAAGCTCTCCTGAGTAAATTGGGAGCATGGGGACCTTGGGAGAGAGTTGAAGGGGAGGGAAGAAACAGGGAGGGGAGCAGAGAAAAATGTAGAGCTCAATAAAAGTCAATTAAAAAATAAGAAAAAAAATAAAAACATCTGGAGAGCCAGGGGCTGTGGTGTTGGTACACGCCTTTGATCCCAGCACTGGGAGGCAGAGGCAGGTGGGTTTCTGTGAGTTCGAGGTCAGCCTGATTGACAGAGCAAGTTCCAGGATGGGCTCCAAAGCTACACGAAAAAATCCTGTCTTGAAAAACAAAAACAAAACAAAACAAAAAACCCAAACCAACCAACCAACCAAACAAACAAAAAATCTGGAGTCTGGGGCACTGGTGGAGGTGGTGAAATTGGCAGAGAAAGCTAGTTCTCTAGTGTAAATGTACGGCCGGGTCCCTTTCCTTGTTTTGCTTTTTAAGATTTATTTACTTGTGTTTCATGTGTATGAATGTTTGCCTGCATGTATGTCTGTGCACACACATTTGCAGTGCCAGTGGAAGGGAGAAAAAATGTCATATGTGCCTGAAACTGGAGCCACAGATGGTTTGTAAGCTGCCACGAGTGCTGGGAACGGAGCCCAGGGCCTCTACAGGAGCTCTGAGCCATCTCTCCAGCCCTGTGGCTGGACCAATTTCATCACAGAAGGAAGGCAACACACTTTGACCCTCTTGGACCCAAAGCCAGGAGGCAGCAGGGCCCATGTAAGTACACCATGTCTCCACCTCCTCCAAATACTCTCTGCAGACACTTGTCACACGGAAGCCTGAAAATCTGTTTTTCTGAGGCCCGCCAGGAACAAGGTCTGACCAACAACATGTTAACCAGAAATAGTTCCCTATGTCTTGTGGGTTTCAAAGCATTCAGAAGCAGTCTTGACAGAGGGCAGCCCTCAGAGAGTTCCCAATCTCATGTCCCCCCAACACACACCCCGCCAGGAAAAGACACTTAAGATAGGGTTCTTATGATGGTATTTTTATACTTTTTTTTGTTTTGTTTTGTTTTTGAGACAGGGTTTCTCTGTGTAACAGCCCTGGCTGCCTGGCTGTCCTAGAACTCACTCTGTAGACCAGGCTGGCTTTGAACTCAGAGATCCACCTGCCTCTGCCTCCCAAATCTGGGATTAAAGGCATGTGCCACCACTGCCTGGCCATATTTTTATGCTTGCCTCTATATACTTAGTGTGAGGGCATTGCAATCCCTGGAACTGGAGCTGCAGACCGTTGTGAGCTGCCATGTGGGTGCTGGGAATTGAACTCAGGGCCTCTGGAAGATCAGTCAGTACTCTTAACCACTGAGCCATCTGTCCCAAGATTTATTATTTTTGATGATGTGTTTATGTGTCTGTCTGGAGTTATGTGCACACGACTGCAATCACCCACAGAGCCCAGGGGAGGCTGTTGGATCCCCTGGAGCTGGAGGTCCAAGAAGTTGTGAGTCACCAGACATGGGTGCTGGGAACTGAGCTTGGGTCCTCTGAAAGACCAGTGCATGCCCTTAACCACTGAGCCATCTCTCTAGAAGAGACCTGAGCCACACACTCGCTGTCCCCACATGTCATGATGCTTGAAGGCCTCACAGGCTACCAAATAGGTTCAAATGCCTGAAATCAAAAAATCATTTTTTCTTTTTCTTCTTTTGACAGGGCCTCATATCCCAAGCTGTAAGGAGCCATCAGGACATCGCCATTACGGTGCTGGCGGTCCTGCAGCTTGGAGGTAAACAAATCCTTTTGGCCTGCATTTGCACAACTGAGCCTTGTCCCTAGCCAATCCCGAAGCCCCAGGCTCCAGCAGAATGGTGTTCACCAATCAGGACGGTATCCAAGCCCCTCCACCCTAGAAAAGCAGCTGCCGCTTGGCTTTTCCTTCCTCTTCCTCTCTCTCTCTCTCTCTCTCTCTCTCTCTCTCTCTCTCTC